ATTTGTGATTGAACCCAGACAACATCCCCTGCAATGTTAAAGCTCAAATAAATCTGTTTTGCTTTTTTTCCCGGGAATTCCAAACTCAGCTTTTAAACACACACACAAACACAAAAACTGGAAAACTGGCATGGCTATATGAAATCAATATTATTTGGATGGTTGAATGTTTGAATGGTTTTCCTTTATTTTGCAGAGCTCAACAGACTTACTGCACATGAATGTTGCCAGTCTGTGGGCAGATAGAAGGAGCTGATCTCCCTGTGTGAGCCAGGGAACTTGGGTATTAACAAAGGAAGGTACTCCTTCCTCTTCCCTCCCACCCCCACAGGCTCTGAGTCTATCATGGCTGTCACCCAGCATCAGCGCGCCTAATGGCTGAAGCTTTTTGTGTACAGCATCCCGGACTGATCAAGTGAATCCAAGAATGCGTGTACCCTTCAAGGAAACTCTCATGTCACAGGGCCATGAAGAAGAAGGAGCGACGTGGGTCAAAGCACCTTCTCCATAAGGAACCATGGGAATCAGTCCACTGAAGCTAATCTTGAAAGTGGAGGTTGTTGTGAAAAAAGGGTTCATCCCTTAGAAAGTCAGATTTTACTTTGAATACCAGTCCTTGCCTTCCTCTACACTTGCAATGTTATGTTCTTCATGTTTAGTCACTGATTGGCTAATCCTAGAGTCTCACAACCACCTGGACCTGCAGGCCTAACCCAAATCTGATATCTGTGACATTCCAAAGGCAGAGCAGAGTCAAGTTCACTTTTATTGTGTTGCTTTCACAAGCGTTGCCCACCCGCTATGCTGAGTGCCCTGTCAGAATGAGCTCTGGCCCAAATTCTTCTTAAGGGCACTCAGCACTGCAGTTCCTCAGGTTTTTGTGTGCTGCTGAGAGACAGATATGAAGGAGCTGATAGTATGTGCTGAGAACAGCCTGAAGGCATCAAGTACTAATTCGGCATGGACTTGAGCATGTTGCTATGTGGAGGCCTTAGCAACATCTAATCTCCTCTGCCGCCCCTCATATGGCCTGCTAGAGCACAAGGAGCACGACCATGACATTTTCTGGCTTCCTCCACTGTGACCTCTCTTTTCTCTGTATTTCAGTGCATTTCTCTCCCACAAGTACCTTCACATGGGCTTCACATCACCATCAGGGCTGAAACAAAAGACATGCTTTGTCTTTGTGGCTTGCAAAAACTTCAAGGAATTTCAAGTGAAATGCACCAGTTGCTGCATCCTTCAAATATGTCACAGACAACCCCCCCAATATTTTCATACTACTGGCAATACAACCATCACCCAATGCTGAGGATTGAGACATGGAGGCTGCAGAGCTGGAGCATACACAGTGTTCATCACCATGTTGTTTATGCAAATTAAAAAGACTGACAAAGTCATATGAGGTGTTAGTAGAGATAAAAACACCATGTCTGTCTTCAGATATGGCCGGCACTTCAAAATGACAGGGTTCTTGTTTACTGAGAGGAATGTGGACGCAGGTTTAAGCTCAACTGCATTTCTGACAGTCTGGAAAGTAGCCAGAGAGGCATGATGACAGGCAGAGGCCTCTCAATGGTATCAGCACCTTGCAGTCTTCTTATGCATACCACAGGATATCACATACTTGTATGACTGCAGTTTACAGTTTATCTGCTTGAGATAGTAGGCTTAATGAAACAGGACATGAACAAGAGCAGCAGTTGAGATTTTTATCAAACTGACTCAGCGCAAGAGGTTTAACACTGAAGGGACGAGCGGTGAAAATTAACCTGCAAGTTTTCATTCACCAACACTAAAGCTCTCCAACAAATGAGTCAATAAACAGTGTCTGTTCAAGCCACAGTGAACAATGGGTTTGTTCACTGTCCACTGTAAACAACAATTGGCTTAACATAGATTTGCTGGATTGTAGACAAGTCTGATTTCTTGTTTCACCACAGTGAAAAGAAGAAGCAACACACACATGCAAACAGAGATAAAAGTCACATCCTGTCAGCAGCCTAATCAACTTTATGACTGCTTTTTCACCTGGAGGTTAGCTCCAGGCATAAAAGTAAGTCACACTCAGCAAGAGTCCTGGACAAAAGGCCTCTGACAAAAAGACCCTTCCCCCCAAACTTCAGCTGCCTCCTCCTCCCTGACTCTCTGAACTCCACTTGTATTCTACCTCAGTATCTCAGGCTACATAATACATATTTACCAAACACACTAAATCCTCTAATTTAAACTGCATCTCAGCGCTTTACCGTTGAACATCAGAGTATCCCTGCCAAGTTTCAATCAGAATCTAACAGCAGAAGCACACCATATGATTAACTGCCTGTTTTCAGTCCCCTGCTATCTATCATCGATTTGTTTCCTTCCCCCCCCATGCTCCACGCTCCGCTCCCTCCATCAGTGAAACTGCTGACAGGTGGCGCATTAGAGCTAAACCTGCTTTCTTCAAGCTGCAATGGGAAAGAAAATAACAAACACTGGCAGCAAGTGATCAAGCAACTGGAATAACAAGATGAGGGTAAACACACTCCTCTTGGAAAACACAAGTGAAAACCTAGTTGTGTAACATGTTGTCATTCTAGTCAGGTTGTCATTACGGCTACAACTGCATCGTGATTGATGCCCATCACAGTACCCCAGAGACAAAAGTATTTTGTCTGGCTGAGAGTTTAAAACCACAAAACATGAATTCCCCAAAGCAACAGAGAAATACAGCAAATTAATAAAGTGTTATCAGTTTTTTAGGCAAAAATACAAAAATATGCATAGAAAATTTTAATGAAGGAGCAACTTAATGGTGGAAAAAGTAAAGTTTCAAGTCACAGTGTGATTAGTGTCCATGCTCTTCTTGCATTTACCACATTTTGTGCTGCTCCTTCTGGACCCATAAAAAGATTTATAAAACTTTTTTCACATAGTAAACAAACTTTCGTGTGTAGCGCTCCCTTTAGAGCAGAGTCAGGAATCAGGATGCAAACTGTAATTAGCAGACTTCATTACAAAAATCTTAGAGGTGTAGCTTTGGTGTAACACTCTAGGCGTCATTGTGATGGATTCTCAAACACCATGTCCAAACACGTCTGTTACCCCATCAAAGAGTACAACTCCCAGGCAGTGAGCAATATAGTAAGGACTACATGGAAACCAGAGCACACACTCACCAGCCAGGCTTCTGATCTAAATTACACAAACAATACTAAGATGGCTGACAGCTTGCACAATTTTTTATCAGAGAGGGAATATTTACAGTCCAATTAAATACCTATGTGCACATGCATCTGGGACTTGTGGGGCCGTCTGATGGCATGTGGCCCAGGCCGGGACATGTACCCAGCGTGTCAGGTCAGTAATCCAAACGTTTCTATCACCAATTCTACATCCTACGAAACCAGAGAAGAAAAGTAACAGTTACAAACTGCTCTGGTTTTCCTCGTCAGACAGGTTCCTTTCCCATGCCAAACACCAGCCACAAAACATCTTGTTTTATAAGAAAAGATGATCCCTGATATATTACTTAGGTGATGATCAGTTTGTGTTTACAGATACATCCTGCAGTAAACGTCATAAAGTTATAAAAGTAACTTATTTATACAAATTAATGATGACTTAAATATTTTCACTGAATATTCTGAAATGTCTGGAGGTATCCAGAATTCAACAGATTCCCACTCCTATTTATAAAATGAATGTCACTTTCAGCTTTTTCCCGTTAGGGGTCACCACAGCAAATCGATTATCAATTATTAACTTATAAAATTAAATCATGGAACTGCTGTGACATTATTCAATGTTATAACCATCATCGATTCACATAAATCAACATGTGAAGTTGGGTTTAACCGAGCTGTATTTGTGACTTTGATTCATTCATTCCTTGATGTGGCCAAATTTTGCAGATGTTTGTGGAATTATGAGCAGATCACCAAACTGTCATTTTCAGTCCCAGTTGGGTCTTCTCTCTGGCCAAGAAGTCATCTGAACATAAATAACAGTCACTATGCTCCAGGTTGTGAGTAAAGCAGTGACAAATTATGGCCCTCCATAGTAAATGGCAGTGCTTCCATCTTGATCTGTGCTTCTCACAAATCAGCATTTTTACAAATAACTGAATCAATACGTGTATAAACCAATGGAGGTTTTAGGGTAATTGCTAATGTACTGTTTATAACACACAAACACAGCACAGTTAAATCAGCGCTTTCCAGCCCTAAAATCTCCACATACTGCTGAAAACTACTGCCCAGTGTAAAACTGAGCAAACATCTGCAGCAGTGATATTGCTTTCACAATAAATAGGATTACTATTACAAATTAGATTACTATGACTTTATGGCCAGTTGTAGTTTGTGATGGCGGTAATAAACTGGTCTTAGCAAGTCACGTCGTTCACCTTCCTTTTCCATTCCATTCCTTCTTTTCTTTTTCTGAAATTTTTAAGACATGATCACAGTCCTTTTCCTTCACACTGATTCTGACCACCAACCTTAGCAAATATGTGCTTGGATAAAATGGCTCTTCGGGGACCATATTTGAGAACGGGGCGGGGGGGGCAGGGGGTGAGGCACAAAGAAATTCCAGTGTTTTTCGAATGCAACATGTCACTCCTGTCCAAGCCAAAAACTTAAAATTGCAACTTTTTATGTTCACTAAACCCTTTGCAGTGCTTTGCAAACAAAACAATGGACTTTTATGCCGCTTTAAAGTGCTGCCAGAACTTTCCCAGCTTGTTGTCAGACGAGTCCAGCGATTTCATCTCAGCACAGTTCAAAAAATAAGAGCGGGGAAGGAGGAAACACTGCAATTCAAACAAAGTCAGTCACGTGTTTTTGAATCATTTCTTTAAATAACAGAGAAACTCGGTGGCTGAAAAACGCATTAGCCAATTTTCTATACTTGAGAACCACGCCAATGCCTTCCACGTCTGATCCTTTTAGACTGTGGAAACCCGGATACCAGAGCTTCGGCAGAGCACCTGAAGGCAGCATCCGTGATAAACCGCTGTGGATGGGCGTGACGTGGTGAGCAATTAGGGCTGCAGAAGCAGAGTCGGCGCTGCTGAGCTCGCTCCACATTTTACGCATCGCTGTCAGTCCTGTGCGCTACGAGCAAGTTTCACTGCGCGCCTTTGCTGATCTGAACCTTCAGAGAACATAAGGAGAAGCCACGGGAAACACTGCGGGACTGACAGGGAGCACATGGAAACGCAATGTAGCTGGAAATACTGCGCTGGACTTTGTCATAATTTCATTCGAGAAGAGGCGAAGTGAGAGGCGAGAAACATGCTCACCCCGGCGCTGGCCTCTCTGCTGCCTCTTCTGATTCTCTGTCGGATTTCATTCGGCCAGTACTCAAGCGACCAGTGCAGCTGGAAGGGCAGGTGAGGCTGACCGTTTATTACATGTCAGGTTAAAATACTGACAAAATCACTTTAATAAAGTTTGAAAGTATGTGTGGTGCAGCGAGCGACCGATGACGGAGCGAAACTCAAGGCGCCGTGGTGATGTGAAACCAGGAGTTTAACGGAAAGAGGTGTGACAGAATCTAGATATAAAAACTATTTGGCCCAAGTTTATAACCGCTATTAGTTTCACCGAAACATACAGGTTCTGGGATGTGGTGGATTAATGAATGACTAATTCAAGAAGCTGGTAGAAAAACTTGTTACATCCTTGTTAAATGTGTTTCAGCAGCATTACAGCCACAGCTACTTCCATTATTCTGAAGTTGGCTCATACTTGTGTCTCAAGGTTAAAAATTAAAACAAAGACTGAAACATTTACAGGGTTACATGCTAAGATCTCACAAGAGCTTTTGGCTTTTTGTTTTTAAATAGATTCTAAAACCTCCTGCATCATTTACTGGAAAGTTTCACCTCCATCAAACATCTGCTGAGATCTGTTCTGCACTTGAGAGGCTTGCCTCAAATAGTGTGGTTTTGTTTTTCATCCTCTAGTCAGGGGGGGGTTGAGGATATTCAGTACTTTGAGCCCTTAACCAATAATCTGTTGTTCATTAGTGAGACTCTTGACTAATCTCCTTTAATTGCATGCAGAAGTGAAGAAGTTAGAAAGGACTTAATTAGAGGCATGCTGAGTAGAGCTGGTTATGGGGCTTCAGCTGCATATGCTCAGCATGTGCCATGGGTTTACTTTAGATCTATGGCAAATTTGAATTTCAGCATCTCATTTTCAGGAAACTGGGCGTTCCTTCCTCAGAGTTGAACCACAAGCTTGGCATGAGAATGCTGGTAGACTGCTGATGACTTACTGCCCCTGGCTTTGCCACAGAATGACTGACAGACTGGAGATTTCAAACCCTGACCAGGCATTAAGTCCTGGAGGGAGTACATTTGGTCATGCTGGCGCCAGAGTCCGAAGTGCTGCCCGGACAAGTCTCTTCCAGTCTCTTTGGTGGCTTGAAAGCAAGGGGAGGTTCAGTGCGTGACCTGCATTTGCACTTGCATGCAGCAAGCCCAGCTACTGTTGCTGCTGTTGTCTGCCCAGAAGCCCCTGTGTCCCTCCATTCATCCATTTCTGCTTCCAAAGTCTTCCCAAAGGCAGCCTGCCAGTGGTGTGTTTTGCCAAAGCTCTGGGAGGAACAATGTGGTAAAGGGAGTGTGTGTTGGAGCTGAGGTCATTTTGGCTGCTCCGGCTCGTGACTGGTCATGCAGCCAGTCTTGCTGTCCTTAAAGACTGAGCCAGAGTTCTTCACCTCGACCAGTTAATTCAGTCTATAAATGACCAGAAAATAACTTTCTGATGACTGAATAAATCCCTTTATGCTGGATGGGTTTGTGTAGTTGTCCGCTCTTGACAGTGCCTGCCATTTTCAGCTTTGCATTTTTGATGTCTCCTGACTTCTTTCACCTTTTTATTCTTCTAGTGGTCTGACCCATGAAGGCCACGCTAGAGACGTGGAGCAGGTGTACCTACGCTGCTCCCAAGGCTCTCTGGAGTGGCTCTATCCAACTGGGGCCATCATCGTTAACCTCCGGCCCAACACGGTCTCCCCTGCTGCTGCTCGCCTCTCTGTCTGCATTAAACCTTCCACAGACTCCAGCGGCACAAACTTCTACCTGGACCGTAATGGCAAGCTGCGCTTGCTGTTGCATGAGCAGGACCAGGCTCAGGGCAAGGTGCACTGCTTCAGTATCCAGGAGGGGGCGCTCTTCATCGAGGCTGTCCCACACATGGACATCAGCCGGCGGGTCACGGCATTCCAGTACGAGCTAGTCAGCGACAGACTAGGAGCAGAGGCACGTTCACTGGGCGGTAAGACTCGTCTCTTTTATAATACTACTACAGAACACTATTAGTGGTAAACCTGTCGATAGGTGTCTCACGTTTCATCTAAGAAACCATTATAAGACTTGGTTTTGATTGATTCCCTTTAGAGCCTGAGTTCCTTTTGCCTTGTCCCTGTGGTGTTGCTGTGCACTAAATGCAGCCATCTGCTGGCGGAAACGTTTATTAAATTGGACTCTAATAATAGGAAACTCAGCGTTAGCTCCAGCCCACTGCTAATACTGAAGCTGAAGTCCATTTCTCTGGCAGAATTATCTGTACATTTTGGTTTGGGGAGAATATATTTTATGTCAAACTCGAAGGTTAACTGACTATTGAAATGTCCAAATCTGGAGCCTTTAAGGCTTTCTGGAACTTAGATAAAATCTGTGCTACATGGTTCTAATTGTAATTGTTTTCCTTTTTTTGATGGCTTGTGTGTGGAGGGGCACAGCCAAGCAGAGGGCCTCCACTGGAAAAACAGCCATCTATTTTCACGCTGTGTACCTGCCAAACCTGCACAGTTTCAAGCTGTGCAACTGTGCAAGCAACTGTGTTTTTTTCCACCTAAAGCAAAATAGGAGCAGTATCAGGCCTACATCTGTTTTTACGACTCTCTGGGTTCACATATCCACATCCTGCGTCATTATTTGGCACAGCAGAGAGAGAGAAGGTTAAATGTAGAGGAGTGAGCGCAGAACTGTTTTGACCACATTCGTGTGCTCTGTTCAGCTCTGTAGTATAATCTGGAGCTGGGATGTGGCCAGAGATGATTCACAAAGACCACGGCCCGTGTCATCTGGACCCTAGGCTGCTGGATTGATTGCTCCTTTGCTTCTCCCCATCTTCTTTTTTTGTTTCTTCAGTCTTTCCCTTCCTCTTCTCTCTGACCTGCTGTGTTGGGATTGAGTTGATCATTATTAAACTGGAATGTATCTCCAACCAGATGTTGGGAGAAACATCCAGGGGCTTATAGGCTTGTCCTCCCACCCCCCACCCCTTCTTTTCTTGATGTCTCCCCTTGAGTTCACTTCAGTTATTCTCCTTTTTCTTGTCCTCTGTCTGAATATTTCCTACCTCTTAATTTCATCCATGCCCATTTATCATCCTACTATGTTTCTTTTCATTCCTCTCCCCTTCATGTATCATCCCTCTCTCTTCCTGGCTGTTTGTAGTGGCTTTACATCAGTGCCGAGTGGTATTAGCGAGTTGTGCTCCATTACAGTGGAATGCATCAGGGCCCAGATGTTGCTGGGACACTGTGCTCCTGTGAAGTGGTTCTGATCAGAGTGGTGCTGCATGTGCATGGGCCAGAGAGAGAGAGATGCTGACTCGGCTCTTGGCCCATTCCTGTGGTTTTGTTTCATGTCTGATTTGTGAGCCCTGGTCGGCTCTGTTTTGGAAGAAAGAAAAAAAAAAAAACACTTCTGGGTTTAGGCCTCGGCTCACTTCTCTGTCTGATGCTATGGCAGCACGCAGGCTCGCTTCAAAGGGCCTTTGCACTGGACTCTGGGCGGGGTCGGACACTCTGAGGTCGCCCCAGCTGTTCCGAAGCCATCTGAGCTCGTGGCTGTTTGAACTCTGAACTGTGGCGGTGCATCAGCACACAAGCTGACTCCTCACACTGGTACCCTCAACTTTAGACAAGCCAGCTCTGCTCCTAAAGATGACAGAGGGCACAAATGTCTGTTATATAACTTAATTCAGGGTAACATCTACAGATTTTCTTCTTGACTGCATAATTTATAAACTAAATTAATATTTTTGCTCAGGGTTTTGACAAGAAGTGTAAATTACTGTGGTTTCTCATGGGCCAAATCCACCTGAATTAACAGTTCCCCTCTATTTCAGTAGACACCCACTCCTGCTCCACCCTCAGCCCATTGCTGACTTGCACCCCTCCCTTGTGTCCTTACTCTTCTCCCCACTTACCCCACTCACTAAGGAAGACCACAGCAAGTCTAGAGCTAATAAAGACATTCGGGTCAGGCCAGCTGCAGGACCACCTGAGTCAACTAATCCTCGACTTGAGTGCTCTCATTTAGGGCCCTTTCTCCTCCTAAAAAAAAAAAACCCTGCGGAGGAGGGCAGGCGGAGTTGTTGCTCTACAGCCCCCAGTCAAAGGTGAACTCTAGCCTGGGGCAGGCTTTTAAAGTGCTGGGTATAACCAGGCATATGCTTTTACATTTAAATCACCTTTTACAACTGATTATTTGCCTTCTAGTGATCAGACAGTTTCTTCTGCCTTTAGTGTTCAAGTCTAGGTTTATGTGTAACATGTCAGTTTTGTCCCTGTTCATTGACCTTCTATAAAGCTGTTAAAATCTCTTTGTTATAGCTGTGATTGTGCTGACTGTTTCACTCAGCAGGTCTGCTAAAGTGCTAACACAGCTCAGTATCTTCTCGTCTCTCTGCTCTCCTTGTCATTTTCTTCTGGTCCTTGTTTGTCATGGAGGGCCTCCTTCTTCATGGCAGGCCCAACCACAGCTGTAGAAGTGGCTCACCAAAACTGTTAGGAGTGTTAAAGAAATCATGGGCTTTTCCTCTTTCTTCCAAATTTTGACTCCAAACTTACCCATGCTCTCCCTTATTTCCACTTAGCACCCTGTCAGCCCTGCAGCGATGCGGAGATGCTTCTAGCAGTCTGCACCAGTGACTTTGGTAAGTAACAGTGCAGGTTTGAAGAATTATGAGCTTTGCACTGCTGCAGAAATTTCCAATGAAGACATCACTACTGTAGCATGAAACATAGCTGTTACCACCATCTAAATCTTGCTTTCCTGTTTGCTTCCAGTGGCACGGGGCAGCATTAAGAAGGTGGAGCAGGAAGAGGAGCACTCGTCTGTTACTGTGGAGATCAGCCGCCTCTACAGACAGAAGACCCAGGTCTTTGTATCTGGTGGTGTGAGGGTACGGAGCTGGATCGGCCGCATCAAGATGCCCCTCCAGTGCGGGGTGAGAGCTGGTACGGGTGAGTTCCTCTTCACTGGGGCAGTGAGGTTTGGGGAGGCATGGATGGGCTGCGCTCCACGCTACAAAGACTTCTTGCGATTATATCATGAGGCACAGCAGCAGGGAGCCAACCCCTGTCAAGTGGACACTGACTGATCAAGCTACCTGCCCCAGCTTGGAAACGACAAAGATTCTCAGTGCATGGGGAGGAGAGCTGAACCAAATGTTCATGCTGAGGAGAGAAAAGACTGACAGACAGGCCTAGAGGCAGAGCTTTTCTCCTTTCCTGCTCTCTCGTGACTCTATGGAGACAAAGAATGGAGCTCCTGAATGTTGCCAAGCAGCATGCTAACTGGACTCTGTTCTCAAAGTGGAACGTGATGCAAAGCAGAGTGTGCTTGGATCGGCTTTTTGCAGATGAGGAACTCCGAGGTTTAAAATGTAGCAGACCCTGTTTGGTTTTTGTGTATAAAATGTGAATGAACACTGTATATTTTGAAGCTCTGTGTGCTTTATAAAAAGCACAATGTACAGTTCCGAAGGTATTTCTTGTGACAGAAATGTATAAAGTGAAAGCCTCTTATTTTTATTTTGTTTATAAAAAAAGATTTGCAAGTCAGTGCCTGAATTCTTGTGCTTTTCAGGCTGTGAAATTTTTTAAAAAAGCAAACTGTCTTTTTTTGCCCTTGAGAATAAAAGCTTTTATTCCCTAGAATTGTGTTTTGTAGTGTTTGCATGTAAAATAATTCACTAACTAAATGTCTCCTGGAAAAATTAAGTAAAAAAAAAAAAAAAGACATTTATTTTTTGGCAGTTATTCCAAATGTAAATATAATCTTGGTGAATTAGGGGCTGTGGGTGAAACAAGACCATACCTTGGCCTTTGGGAAACTTTTCAGATTTGATTTGATTTGATTTGATTTATTCTTTCAAACATGTAACGACAGTCAATATGTCAACACACATATTTGATGAGTTTAGAAAATATTCAGCAAATAATGAAAGTAATCTTTTAGTTGTATTAAAGCATTTATTTTGACACACTAAGGCTTCAAACCCTAACCCTATTTTACATGTGGTGATAGATGTGCAAAGTATGTTATTTCAGATCAAATATGGTCCTAATGGGTTTTCTTCATATTCTCCTCTGGAATAAAAACCCTCTCGTGGAAGTTTTAATGATGTGCATTAACTTTGTCTTTAACCTTAGCCTCGAGCTGGGACCGTCTGCCAGGGGTATGGAGAGATTGATATCGGAGAGCTGGGGTTGATTCCCCTGTTGGTTCCTGTGTTGATGGGGGTGGCCGTGTGTCAAGGTCAACGTGAAAGGCCTCTTTGTTCCGGCGCAGCAGCCTAGTATGATAGAGAGGACTGAAGACAGACCTGAATACAGCCCTGTGACTGGGCACGTAGCAGAAAGCAGCACTCTCAAAGCGCACTCCAAGTTTTTATTGGCACAAAAAAAAATCTACTCAAACTCCATGTTTAAACCAAGGCTGATTGTTTTCATCACCTCAAATTAAACACAGGGACCAATCAAGTTTTGGAGCTCTTTGCAGTTCTACCACACCAGATGATCAGCCTGTGAATCAGGCCTGTTAAGATGACATTCACTTCATGGCCAAGACTCTTTTTGTCTGCCTTTTCACTTAAAGGAAATGCACCTAGAATGTCTTTGAATGAGTTGCCCCACATAGGCGACTGCTTTTCCAGACAGCACCAATGCATTGAATTGAATATCTGAATTCCAGCAATCCCCGAAATAGTCACTGGGAAATGCAAACAGAGTTTCTATGGTAACGATACCTTACTGTGAACCTTCTCGCTCTGTCTTTAAGTAAAGGGTCCTTGGCGGAGGAGGAGGAAGAGGGTCAGTGGGCACTAGGCTGCTGGGCTTTTTGCTGGTCCAGTTTGGTTGTCAGACCGCCCTCTGTGTTTCCTCTCTGAATTGTCTGCTTTCACAGTGTGGCCAAGAGCAGCGGATGGTACAACATGCACGAGTCTTCAGGTGATCCAACGCACTTAAGCTCTTTCCACTGCAAGCTGTACACACCTCGTTTTTATTTAGGCATCTGTGATTGGCACTGAGTGTCCCCAGTTTATCCTAAAGATTTATCAGCAACAATTAGCCAATTAATCAATTAGTCAACTTTCTTTTGTCCCTGCCATAATTAACTACAGATAACCTTTTGTGCTGGCTATTGTCACAGCAATTTATTTCTGGGCTTTTAAAATATTCAAATGAAAATATTAATTTAGTTATAAATGACATTTTAGCTGAGTCTGCATAGCTATTCAGTAGGATTTGGTTTCAGTGTCACTAAGTGCAACTCATTCAGCTAACCTGCCTGTTATATATGCAATCGTTGCAACTTGATGGGTGTGGTCAAGTTTTGTTATAAGTTGAGAAAGATCCATCAGTCTAATCCAGACATGAATATGTAGACTCTGTGTGATGTTGGCCAGAAGTCACTGCATGGCCATTCTGTGGGTGGAAATGAAACAGAGAATGAAAATAGCTACTGCTGAAAACTGCAGCCATGGCAAAGTGCACAGTCACTTGACAGAAAGAAGGGTGGTCGAGTTAAAAGAGCAAGAGGACCCCAGCAGAGAGAAGAAGTCTGTGAGCTCAGTGCAGTGGCTAATATTTTATGCCTCTTTGGAAAGTGCTGGAATGTGGGGAATGTGTTGACTTCACACACGCGCCTGCCCAGCTTCCCCCAGTGCCACTGCTTTGATTAGCCAGTCAATAGAGTCTCTGTGTTGTGTGTGTGTGTGTGTGTGTATGCCTGCACTATGCACGTGGCGCTAACCCTGACACACATAAACACACCACCCTAGCTGTGAGATAGCCGCCACCCACACAGAGCCACAACTCACTCTGCAGCTGTAGCACTAACATCTCCGGCCTGACATGACGCTGCCTTGGCACTTTGTGATACAGAACTCACCTTCTCAGATTTCACATCATATAGAATATTACTCCCTATCTTATGATATTTGTTTTATTCTTTTACATTTAGAATTGTAGCATTTTTGTTAGAATATTCACACTACAAGGGAAAGAAGCCTATAACTTTCATTTAATGTTCACTAGTCCATTGACACACAGGGAGAAAGAGATACTTTATCAGTTAATAACAAGGCTGTACTCACTATACTATTGGCACATCAGTGCTAAATGCTAAGATCAGCATGCTAACATGCTGATAGAGACTAAACTAATATGTTGATGTCTTACAGGGATTTTTTAGCAGGTTCACTGTTATAGTTTAGTCTGTTAACATGCTAATATTTGCTAAGTGGCACTAGAAAAATACTAAACTGCCAGCTGAGGTTAGTGTTGCAGGTATCTGGTTATAAACACAAGTACTGGGCAAATTGACCTGATGGATGATGGCATGAGATGCCCAATTTCATGACTTTGCTTCCAGTAGTTTCTTTTAGCTATTTCAGTCTGGACCAAAGTGCTGAACTGACCAACAAACCAAACATGGCTAACAGTCCACAGTGTGCCAAAACTAGACATTTTATTTTTCAGTATCAGACTTGATATGTTAATAAGATGTGTATATCCTGATTTTATTTGACAACAATAAATGCAAAATGTAATATTTTAATTACATGCATGTGAGCCCTCCCATCTTGAGCCAAATAGAGTATGGGTAGCGTGCATGAAGTAGATCAGGCATTGAATTCATCAGATGGTTTGGACATCAGGGTTGCTTATCAAGACAACGTCCCACTCTGTGTTTAAGTCAGCAGAGACTTTTGGGGTCAAATCTGTTCAAAAAGTCACAGTATCAGAAGTCAGACTTTTGATCTATGGTGAAATATTTCTGTCTGTGAATGGTGATTTGCTGCTGCAGTCTACTGTCTCCTTCCTTTTGTCCTTCATCATCCTCTGGCTGCTGTCAGCTCACATGACTCACAGAGAGATCGTGTCAGGGGGGCCCCTGTTCACCCAGCAAACACACCAATGCCCTCCAGATTGGTGGGTGTCACACTGCAAGAACCTACTGGGAGCCCCAATTCTCAGCAGCCCAATAATGGAGCAGAATTTGGCTTTAAGAACATCAAGCAAACACGCTGCAAATGGCACTTTTATTTACTTTCCTTCATGTCCCCTCCCCCCACCGCCTTCATTTACTGGGATCTGCACTGCCATTTCCAGGAGCCCCATGGCAACAGCAGGCCTTGTCAATGGGAGTACAACTTTCTCATGATGTCACCATACCATGGCAATTGGCAGTCTGTTGAAAGTTGATGAAGCTCTTTTTGAGTTATCAGAATCCAAGTGGCAGTGACATTTTTTTTTACAGAGATATGAGAGGACACAAGCTTGACTTTGAACGGCGATTGTGAGGTCATGATGTTGTTTGGAAGAATCAGGTTCAGTATTTAATAAATTCACAATCCTGTTTTAAAACAAAAAAATATAACTGAAGAATGAACTGAATTGCAGAAATTTCCACTGATCACAATAACAAAAGCTCATTCTGTCCAATAGCTCTCTTGACTTTGAATGAGTGTGTTGATGCTTGCTTTATACAACCTGTCATTCATCAACACTTGTTTCTTGTATGACTGTGATAATGCAGCCTGCCTTGGCTCCTCTGCTCTCAGGGCTGTCAGACACACAGTCCAGTGAGCACCAGTGGCTTTGCCTTGCTGGTGGACTCCTCCTTGGCAACGAAGCCAGCCCCCTCTGACCTCTGACCTGGGATATGGCCTTTTGGATAAGGGGAGAAAAAAAATGGTTCCTGCCTAAATTTAGCCATTAGAATTTGGAGGAGACAGGGGCATGCCCTCTAGGAAGCACATCTTTGGGCGTTCTGGGGGTTGGGGGTGGGGATTGTATAATTGAATGTGTGACGTTTGATGGATGTCTAAATGAGGGGCATAATAGGTTGTGTGATTGATAGGTAGGAAGCAAACACTTAAATTTTCACACAGGAGCGGATGTGAGCTGTTGGCGGTGGGGACACAGAAAGTCGTAGAATGATTGATGGTTTCTTGAAGGACAACAACTCAGCAAATGAAGAAATATACACATCGGTTGTTGTTTAGTTTTTACATTATTTCTGGTCTTATTGTCTACTGTAGAGTTTCATGCATAAACACAAACTAAGATGATCCAAATCAAATATTTACAAATGTGCCAGACTGATCTATAATCACACAGGAGATAATCACCCAAGGTTCAACTATTCAGACTACACCAGAGATCCATGACTTTTATTTATTTATTTTTTAAACCAGCTAAGCAATCTAGTTTAATAAATATAAAGATACTAGACAGCTGAAATTACTTAGATTAATCTTTTTCAACATAAGTTAATATTGAACATTTAACTAAATGTAGCTATATTTTGAGCCTGTAATTTGAAATAAATGAAAACAAACAGTATAATGTGGTATTGGTAAAAAAAAAAAAAAAAAAAAAACTCTTTAAAACTAAAAAATTACATGCGTGTGATATTTGCAAAAAGAAGATCAGTCAAAGCTGTAAAATCATATGCATTTTTAACACTGTATGGATGTGTTAAATAGAAATCCAAACCCACCACAGAGTTACCTAAACTGGAATAGCATCAGAAGAATTTAGGGCCTGTCACACACCATTATATGCATAACACAGTATAACACACACCCTAGTGTCTAACACAAGTTAAACAAAGTGTAAATGCTTTATTGGA